GTGGGCCACGAAGTTTCAATCGCACTGTACGTGCGCACCCGCACGTGGTATTTTGTGCAAGAGCCACACTCAAGGGGCCAAAGAGCTGAATGTGGCTCGCGAGCCGCGGTTTGCCGACCACTGTCCTGAAGGCCGCTTGCTTTTCAACGTCTCAGGGTTTCCCTGGTGAACCCGCAGTTCTGGGCTCTGGTGGGTGGGCCTGGGGGCAAGTCTGGGTCATGGGCTCTGTGACTTCCCTTCTGGGAGGATGTGGTGGGGCCACGTGCTAGGACCATTGTGGACCAGTGTGAAGTGTCCTGCCCTCAGAGCCCAGTGATGCCTGGGCAGACCTGGAGCTCAGAGTCATGCCACGTGGGAGAAACACAGTATGATGAGGGTCCCTTCTAAAGCCCACTCTGGTGTTGCGTGTCCTGGTGGAGGTCAGCCCAGCAGCAGGTATATCTGGGGTGAATGGCAGGTTCTGGGTACCCAGAGAGCTGGCGTGTCTTCCGGGAGTCTGGAAGGGTACCTGACTCGGATGTCAGGGTTCTGTTGTGCGTATGAACACCTGGCCCCTGGGCACCTCTCTCTCTAGAGTGCTCTCGGCCCGAACTTTCTAAATCAGTGTGTTTGATCCAGTATGTAAGGGTGGCCTCTGTGGGGTTTTTGGGAAAACATTTTTTGTATTCGAAATAGAACAAGGAGCCCTGGCCAGTGTGGTTCAATGATTAGAGCGTCAGCCCACACATGGAAGGGTCTCAGGATCAATTCCCAGTCAAGGGCATGTACCTGGGTTGCAGGTTCAATTCCCAGCCTTGCCCGAGGTGTGTGTGGGAGGCACCCAATCAATGTCTCTCACATCAATGTTTCTCTGTCTCTTTTTCTCCTCTCTTCCCTCCGATCCACTCTCTCTAAAAATCAATGGAAAAAATATCCTCGGGTGAGGATCAAGAAAAAAAAAAATGGAACAAGGATTCAAGTGTAAAATTCACATGGATTTTTAAGGTAAGCCATACAGGTCTCTGTTTTAAATGACTCAGAGTTGCTGAGCCTCAAAGAGAGGCATGTAGTATGTCCTTTGAGGCCTTCCCTACACGTGCCCTTCTCCAGATCATCCTCACATTTAGAGGCTCAGCACAAGCCCATCCCCCTCCTCCTCTCCTTGGGCTCCCAGAGGTGTTCCTCTGCACCCAGCACTGCAGTTCCATCTGGCTCCCTGCTCCCGACTCTGTCCCATCCAATGTCCCTCCAACCTTTTAGGCCTGGGTCACCTTTGTGTGTCTCCTGCTGCTGAGCTCTGCTGGCGTCCAATAAACTTCCTTTCCCTGCTAGATGGGTTCCCCCTTGAGCCCAGGGTCCTATCTGACTGAGGCAGGCACCCTGGGGGCTCTGAAGGTGGAGATGAGCCCCGCCCCCTCTGATCTTTCCTACTTGACCTGACAGCTGTCTCTGAGGTAGCAGTGAGCTGATGAACAACTCCTGAGCCTGGTGAGTGCAAACGTCATGGTTCAGCTCTTTTCATACAATGGTTGAGGCAAAGCCTCGATTCCATGTCACAGAAGTTCCGGCCCTTGTTCCAGACCACGGCCCCTTTAAAGGAAACGGTGATTATTTTCACCAGTAGGGAGGCGGGTAAAGCTGATCTGTGGGGTCCTTTGGCTTTACCTAAAGAACAATGGGGGTCCAGAGGGTTAGGAGGAAGGGGCAGGCCCGTGGGAGAGTGTGTGACCAGTGCTTCCTTAGATATAGGGGTGGGATCCAAGGAGGAATCTGGGAAGTCTGTGCAGTTGGGGCAATGCCCTGGGGTCAAGATGTCGGACCAGGGGGTGGCAGGAGACTGGGCTGAGTCCCCAGGCCAGGGGAGCAAAGAGAACAGAAGTGGCTCTGGGCTTAGTGTGGCATAAGGCTGTGTTTGGGAAATAAGAAACTTACACCCATGACCTAAACAGTATAAAACAGCAGTATTGCCGAAACCGGTTTGGCTCAGTGGATAGAGCGTTGGCCTGCGGACTGAAGGGTCCCGGGTTCGATTCCGGTCGGGGGCATGTGCCTTGGTTGCGGGCACATCCCCGGTGGGAGATGTGCAGGAGGCAGCTGATTGATGTTTCTCTCTCATCGATGTTTCTGGCTCTCTATCTCTCTCCCTTCCTCTCTGTGAAAAATCAATAAAATATATTTTTTTTTAAAAAATAAAAATAAAAAATAAAAATAAAACAGCAGTATTAATGAGGCTTGGCAGTAAGACTGCCAAGCAGGGCTGCAACTTTACATTGAGAAATACCAGACTGAGCAGAATGGGCATTCAGGAAGCTCGAGGAGGGAGAAAAAGTGGCCAAGATAGCTGGAGGAAGCTGAGGAGGGAGTGGGCACACCTCTAATGAGGGTGAGATGACCCAACTCCCTCAGCAGCCACATGCACATCCCACTCCCCAGAGGGTAAAACACCAACCTGGCAAAGATGCACTCATCTCAATGTCTCAGCACAACCTCTTGCCCCTGGGAAAGCAGTCCCGTCACTCTAGCAGCCACAGAGCTGAAGCCCAAGGACACACTGCCAGGCGCAAGCACTTGCTTTCTTTTTCAGTTCTGCCTGGACTCCTGGCTCAACACATGCAAGTCGGGGCTGCAACTCTGCTCGACATTGCTGTTTCCAAGTGCCAGCCTTTGACATTTCACTTCCCATAAGATTACACCCAATAATTTCTGATTTACATTCCTATGGATTTTTTTTCCTTACTTTTTTTTTTTTTAATTAATGAAGCAAATTCAACTCAGAGCAGGGATTTGAAAAGCACAGCTAGGAGCTTTTTGTTTGCCATGAAGATGCCCTGATTATTCCACAATAAAACAAGCCACTGCAGAATGAGAATATATCCAGCCAGGAAACGGGACGTGAGGAAAAGCATCTGGGCACATACAGCCTGGCCTGGAACAGCTGCTCCCATGGGGACTCACCTCTCTTGGAAGAACTGCCCTCCCTATCCCCCAACAGCAGGTAAAAGGTATTAAGATTTAAACCTGTGTCTATATTCTTAGCATTGTACCCTGTGGGTGGTTCTAGGATCGAGATCTTGTGTGTTCTTCATACTTTACAGAGTCTGTCAAAAGATGAAGGTATGAGCCAAGGTTTTTCCCACCTGTAAACACAAATGCACTTGATGCTAAGTTTACCTTTACAAGATGCCTGGCAAGTTCTCTCAGTCCAAAGCACAATTCCGATGAGGTTGAAAGGTGTTCCTAAGCCTCTCCTTTAAGGGACACATGCCACCTTACTACAAGTGAACATACACTAGTCAGTCACCGTACCTTTGTTGTTGGCAGCTGGCTGACACCATCAGCATGCTCTGCGAGTGCAGAATGCTCTGGGCCTGAGTGGAGTCATGCCTGCATTGGTTGGGGGGACCACAGTGCGAGGAGAGAACAGGGAGCGTGCAGAGATGCAGGAAGATGAGGAAGGTGGCCCTCTGGCCAGGAGAAGAGGCAAGAAGAGGATGCTGGCAGCACCCATGGTCCACAAGCACCATTCCTCTCCACCTCGAACTCCCAGGACTCCAAGAGTCACCCCAGGAACCTCTCTAGCCACCCCCGCCTGCTCCACCCAGCTCAGCAGGCATATCTTGTTTTTGCCACAGTTACAGCATGTCCCACAATTCCATATCCTCAGCCCTGGGGAGTTCAGGGGGAGCTCTGAGACATTAACTTGCCCAGTGCAGACAACTCAGGCTGTGGAGTGACTTCTCTAAGAACACCTGACCCTTCAAAGCCACGGTTTTCCAGGTATTTCATTACAAAAATATATGCACTCATTTTATTCATAAGAGTTCCTTAAAAGAGGTAAATCAACTATGCTATTAACCCAAATATTCAACAAACATGGCCACTGTGCCAGCCATGGTCCCAAAACACAGCCTTAGGCAAACATGGTCCCTGCCCCTAGGAAGCTACATCTTAATGGGGTGACAAGCCCGACGTCATTTACAGAACTAGCTGGGTAAAGTTGTGAGGGTGGCTATGGCAGAGCTGGACAAGTGCTGGGGGAACAGAGCATCCGCCTGGCTGCTGTGGTCCACAGCATGGGTTGGTGAGGGGCTTGGAGGGAGGGTTGAAGGGCTGCAGTACTGTTCAGAGGAGGGTGATGGAGGCTCAGATGGTGCTGCAATGGCCAGGAGAGGGATACTAAAGTTCAAAAAGTGAAATGTAGTAAGAGCTAACCACGCAAAACTTTAAAGCATTTTTTAAAGTTTTGCTTTGCTCTATGTTTCAGATTCAACGCAGCAGCCTTCATGAGCCGGAAGGAAAAACCAGTCATTTTGAAATCAACATCCAAGGGAGGACAGAAAGAATTCTGGAGTTTGGAAATGGCAACAACAGATGATCACACACACACACACACACCCCTGCTTCTCCGTCACATGCTTTATGTGAAATGGCAGCCTAGGCCAGCACCTCACGGCAGCTTCGATGATTTAAGGCAAATGCAGTGCTCTTGAGATCACACTGCTCTTATCCACTTCATCAACAAAGGGTCACTGAACACCTACTGTGTGCCATACATTTCTCCCGGGCACTGGAGAGACAGCAAAGAGCAAAACTGAGCCCATGCCCTCAAGAAGCCCACATTTTAGTGGAGTAGAAAGACCCCCCAAAAATAGAAACCAGATAAAAGTTACAGTGTGTCATATGGTGATAATCACTGTGAGGAAAATACAGCAGGGAAGGGAGAGGGGAGTATCTGGATGGGGTTGGTGTAAATGTACGTAAACGGAGAAGCCCTCACTGGGAAGGTGACATCTGAGGATGTGGGGAAAGCCCTCAGGACACCTGGGGAGAGCTTTCTCCACAGAGGACTAGCCAGTGCCAAGGTCCCAAGGCTGCAGCAGCTCTACACTCACAGCAGGCCTGTCCCTCCAGACAAACCCCTGGGTGCCAGGCAGGGACCTCAGCACCCCTGAAACACCCCTTCTGGGCACCTCTACCCACAGGAGTGGGAGCCTGAGAAACAGGGCTGCCCGTGAGGACCCAGGCACCTCCTGTCTGATGACAGCCTAACCAAGGCTGTACTGTCCAGCATCAGTCCAAGGCTGAGATGCTAGTCGCTACACCACCACCGCTGCAAAAGCACCCAGCAGTGTCCCCTGCACTCCACACTATGGGCACGATGACACAGGAACAAGTCACGAGCAGCCTTCCTCCTTCGTGGGATTCCTTCCTGCCTCCGCCACATGAGCCAGCCAAGCACCTCAGCGCAAGACCAGTCTCAGGGACTCTCCCAGATGGAGATGTTTACAGGGTAGACTCAGTGCTTCGTGCTCTCTCTTCCCACAGGCATAACTCACTAGCATGGGTATGTTTAATAAATAGTTTTACTTCTGCAATTAAAGAAACTGGTGGTTGCAATATTACCTTGTAAAGCATTTAAGCATCAATTGTGAAACGAAAAGAAAAAAGCCCTCTTCCAGAATGAAAACTCCAAATGTTTATTTATACTATAGGTGTTATTCTAAAGGCTAATTTTAGAAAATATCTTGAGAAGGAATTGAGCTGCACAAACAGCATCTGACACCTCCAGGATCTGGAATACACTTGCTGACCAGTGGTCATGGGTGGCAGTGAGGGCTCCTTGAGGCATCCCCATCCAGCCTGCCAGCCCACAGGTCCTGTGGGTGAGTCATTCCCTCCCAGCACACCTCTATTGTACTTCTGGTTGCTCAATAGCTTCTGAAATTTCAATCTCAGGAGAGAGAAAAAAAATGTAAACCCTCATCCAAGGATATGTTCAGAGGGAGAGGGGGAGAGGGAGAGAGGGAGGGAGAGACAGATACACACTTGGATAGGTGCCTCCCCATATGCACGCCGATGGGGGATCAAACCTGCAACCTTTTGGTGTACAAAACAACGCTTCACCAACTGAACCACCTGGCCAGAGCTCTCTGGAAAAATTTAAAGCAACAAAACCCTAAGTGTGCCATTCATTTATCCCTGTCCTCCCTAATAAAATGGAGCTGGTCACAGAGACAGTCTCAACTATGCGGCCCTCTGCCTGGTCCTGCAGGCACCCAGTTACCATGAGAGTTATGATCATTGGCCTTTCTTACACACAGACATGCATGCATCCCACCCCAAATGCAAGCCCCTCAGGGCCACCCGTGGCTCTCCATGGCCACAGCCCTACATCAATGCCACGTCTTTCCCACCAGGAGTCTCCCACAGGCTGTGCCCCAGCCCCACTCTTCCTCCCCTACTTCCCACTAACAGCACCACACCCATCTCCCTACTTCCCCTCAGATAGGACCCCTGCTGTGCTTCTCTCTCTGACCTCCTATGTGCTCTCAGGACAAGCTTCTGTAACTTCACTGCCACTGAGAATCAGTGCTATCAAGAACAAGGAAGGACGCCTGTTCTCAATGACCTTGGTTAGGAAGCGTCAGCCATCGACATCGGCACCTTTGGAGTCTCTGGAAAAGTGGGTCTCACCATGTCCCACAACTCCACTCAAGGTAAACCTTCTACACCCTCTGAGTGTGTCATGGTGAACCTGTAAGTAGGACTGCCACCTGCTGTGCTCACTCCACCTTTTCAGAGCAGGCACAGGGGGGTTTGGAGACCATGACAACCACCCCTTCGCAAGGGCATCTCTGACAGGAAGACAAAGACCAGTTTCAAACCACTGACTTCCAAATGTACTTGAAGTAGAGTCATATGTAAACTGGGCATTTTCTGTAGACTTCAATTTATTTCACACAATTTGTAAATAAGAACTTAAGAGTTTTAACTTCTTTGACTTTTTGAGTACTGGGTTCAGCAGTCTCCTCTTAGAAGTAGAAACTCTCAAGGGAAAATTACTTTGAGATCAAATTACATTTTCATAGCCACCAAAAACATATCAAGGCGCAATTTAATTATGGAATACCTTGCTTAGCCACTAAGAGAGTTTAGGAAAATACCAGCATCAAAATATCCAGTATCCAATATTCAAATCCGGTAAAGGTAGCAAACATTTTGGCTGACAAATAGATTGAAATGCAAATGAATTTGGGGCAAGGAAACAAATGACCCAAGGGTATTTTTGGATTTCTTTTTCCCCATGCAATCAAGTCTCACAGTAGACACCTCGCCCCCTCCATAGCTGCAGACAACAGCTTCCATCACCCTTAAAAGATTAACTGCCAGGCAGATGGAAGCTGATTTTACAATACAGAACCATGTTCTTTAAATGGCACACCTCCCCCAATTCTCAGTGGCGATGAAGTTACAGAAGCTTGTCCTGAGAGCACATAGGAGGTAAGAGAGAGGAGCGAGGGCTGTGTTGCACTGGGCAGATGAGGAAGTGAGCCCTGAGTCAGCGCCAGGAGGCCAAGGAGTTGAATTTGGGAGTAGAAGGTTGACTGATGTTTCTCAGATCCCCCTGCATCTTTATCTGTCTCTGTGTCTTTCTCTCTTTAGGAAGGATAACATGCAAATTAAGCAAGGATTTCACATGAAGACTGAGCTTGGGGATGTTGAAGCTAGACTCAGGGTCAGTGCACTGAACAGTCTTTCATTCTGAGGAAGCCTTTAGATCTGCACAGGGACCAACAATTCAAAGCTAGAGGCCTATATACCTCAGGGAGTTCAGCAGCTACAACTGGATTCTTTAAATGTGTCCTGGCTCTTAAGAGTTCTTTTAAGTTTCTACAGACCTGCTGAGGAAGAATCTAATTGTAGGGTATCACACGAGTGGAGCTCCAAAAGCTTAATCTCTAGTTACTAAACTGTGTAAGCCTTTTGCATATGAACTAGTCATGGGTCTCGGATAGACAATCACAGTTACAGGTACAAGTAGAGAAGGGTTATTGCTGAACTGTTAGAACACACACTCTGCCCAGCTGAGCACTGATCCTCACTCGCTGCCTCACCTTGAACAAGTTATGTCATCTCTCTGTGGCTCAGACCCTTTACTCATAGTCAGGGATAAGGAGAACGGGAACTCCCAGGCTTGCTCCGAGGATTTAACGAGTGAACGTATGAAAAGTACTCAAGCTGACTGGAAGGGAGCGTGCGAGGAGCACTTTTAACATTAAATAGCACAGAAGACACAGACACAAACTTTCTCCAACCAGGGACCATCAAATCATAAAATAAGCCCCTCAGGCCCTTTCCAAGTGTTGTTTATTCATCTGTAACTAAAACCGAGTTAATTATATACTGTATTACGAGGCCCAATTCTAACTGTGAGTCACAGAAAACAATATAGGAAGGCTGAGCTCCCCTAACACACCAGCAGAGGAATCAACATCAAAATCAGGGCCTTGTATGGTCAAGAATCAAGATACTGTCACAAAGCTTAGGGCTCCAGCCAGCAAGAGGAACGTGCCCAAATTCAAGAAAGTTAAGCTGCCTTTAAGTGCTGCCTGGGTGGAGTGTGCTCTGGAGGTGTGAACGCACCAGGACAGGTACGTTCCTCTGGGACCCTGTGTAAAAGGGGTGGGAGGCTGCCATCAAATCCAACCAGCTCAGCCCTCAAGGGACTCTGCTCTCAGGTCGGCTGTGCTCACTGACAAAGAACTTTCTGCTAAGAACTTTCTTTCACCCCAAGAATTTCACAAAGTGAGGCCCAGCACAGAACACCAGTCAATGGTAGGGACAGTGACCATGGCTGCCTCTCCCATACCCAGACTCTTTTGAGCATTTTGCATATATATTATTACAGTTACTCTTCAAAACAACTCTTGGTGTGAAAACCACTGGCATTCTTTTCACAGATGGGGACACTGAGGCACAGAGCAGGTCCTTGTCCATAGTCATATGCTCACCCATATTCAAACTCCTTGCCTCAACCCCTTCCAGTTAGTACCAGTTAGTAGAGAGTCTGGGTGATGCTGATACTCTGTGTCAGCAGGGACCGAGGAAGGGGGGCCCTAACTGGCAGGGCCTTCCTGGGAAGCATTTAGGAATCACCACCATATCATTCCTTGGGCTCTTGCCCTTCGGACCTGGCACATTCGTCTACACAGAATCCAGCTGAAACAGTCAGAAATTCAGAATAAGACTTATATTAAGGAAACATTCATTAAGAAATGACTCCTAACAACTGGAAATGGCTTATGTAAATGTCCACCAGTAGAACAATGGCTACTCTGGTTCACTTAGAGAGAGGAGTACTAGGCAGTGTTCGAAAATGTGAAGTGAAAAAAA